CTGTTTTTTCTCTCTAGCTACTCTTAAAGATCTCTGTACCTTGGCGTTCTTTATTTTTACTACAATGGGTCTATGATTGAATTGATTCGAATTTATCCTACTTAGTGTATGCTATGGTTTTCTCGTTGCTGTGTATTCATGCCTTTCATCATATCTGGAAAATCATAAGCCATTATATCTTCAAATGTTGACTGCCTATCCTCCATTCTATTTCTTTCTTGTAGGACTTTGATTAGATATATGTTAAAACAGCTCACTATACCTCCATATTTCACTATCCATCTTTGATATTCTTCTATCCCCTTTGTCTCTTATATGGAGCCTGGTGGCACAGGGGTTAAGTGCTCAGCTGCTAACCAAAAGGTTGGCAGTTTGAACCCACCAGCCGCTCCATGGGAGAAAGACATGGTAGCCATCTCTGGTACATTCTGGGTAATGTCTTCAGATCTAATTTCTAATTAACTCATTCTCTAGAATTTTGGAATATTATTTAACCTATTTACTATGTTTTAACATTCTGTTTTTCAATTTAAAAAAATGCTATTGTTTCTTTTTGTTCATTTCTAGTCTCTTATTGCTTGCACTGTTTTCTAATTCTAATTTCTATTTCTTTAAACATTTAATATTTATTGTTATGTGACTGTAACCTCCTATATCTGAAGTTCCTGGGTGTCTAAATTTATAATTTGTGATTTCTACTGATGTTGCTTACGCTAATTTATTCCTCTCTGCATGTGATTTTTTTTTTTTTTTTAATAGTGAGCTCATATTAAGTTATCTTAGTCCACGGGCATCTTGGAGGCCAAATCAGCGTACTTTCCTATAGAGATCATTGTGTTTACTTTTGACAGGCGCCAAAGGAAGGTATCAATGTGAAACCATTCTAGCCACCTTCAAGGTCCCAGCTCTAAATGAAACTCACAGACTCAGCACCCTCTCTCTGCCACTGACTCCAACCTTAATCCCTTGATCGACTGCAGCAATAATACTGGCATTTGCTCTTACTGCAACCTCACATTACTGCTTGTTTGCTGTTCACTTCTCCCCAGACTGAGTTTAGCTCACTATTGGTGAGAGGAGAAGAATAAGAGCTTTAGAAACTTCCTTTAGTTAATGGTAGTTTGGCAATGCACTAAATAGTAGGTTCGGTATAGTATAGCTGTTTTTTAAGGAGATCATCATACAGCTTATGCCAGAACCATAAGTCATACACTGAAAATTTTGATAAGAAAAATGGTAGTCAATCAGAGAATGGATACACTGTCTAGTTAAATAATAAATAAAATGGGAGTTAGAGAACCATATTCATGAGTGAAATGTAATAAGTCAGTCATAATGTCAGTTAGGGGTACGACAGGTAAGGATGAAACATTAAGAGAATTGACTATTTGGTCCCAGTTACTATAGGATAACCCAGCTTAAACCCGGTTCGTAGGAAAGTCTCCTTGGAAGGGCCTCCACCCTCATCTTTTCAGTCAGAGCTCTGAATCAACTTTCCTGCTTCTCAGCTTTAGTAATATTTTTATAGTTACATGATTTCACATATTGTACCATTCTCAGCTTATGCTAATTTTTTACTATAAGTCTTGTATATAAAGCACTCAAAAGCCTAGACTATTCCACAGTTATAACACAGAATTATGGTGGAAGTTTCCCAACATGAACAATATGAATAAACATAAATGTAACTAGAAAGATATTACTGTGATATGGAAGTTCTTGTTCTCTTTCTTATTCTATCTTCAAAACGTGGCATTTTGGGAAAATGCTTTGATAGCAGATCAAGTTTTAAACACCCATGTGAGCACTTCCTTTCTCATCCCGGGGGCCTCCACTGTTGTTCAACTTTCAGCAGAGTCCTGTTTTACTTCCCTACCAAACTACCACTCCTGAAATTGTAAGTCTTCAAATTTCAGATATTTCTACAAGAACTCATAAACAGATTTGAGATAAAATGACTCAGCAACTTAAAGGCTCTAGGGTCACCGAAACTGCATGAGGTTTTAAGAATAAGTGCAAGGCTATTTTAACATCTTAGGGATAATGTTGTTCATTTTTTTAAATAAAAATCAAAAAATGCTGACAGGCTGACTTAAATTTCAAAATACACAAATAACTGTCATTTGCTGTGAAACCCTAGGTCTTCAGGAAAGTTTCAATGCAAAATTAATCACCATGTGAACATTTACACAGAAAAGTCCCAAGACCATATACTAGTTAAAGATCACAATGTAACCTACCTTGTACCTCTAAGTTCATTCATAACTACTGTGTAGTCAAAAACTCAACAAGGATTTCATTTACTTAGAAATATTCACTGAGCATCTATCAACCTTACGGGCACTGTGCTAAACTGTGCAGATACAGTAGTTACGCTGTCGTTAGATGCTACCAAGTTGGTTTCAACTCATAGTGACCCAGCGTATAATAGAATGAAATGCTGCCTGGTCCTGCACCATCCTCACAATAGTAGGTATGTTTGAGCCCACCTCATTGACGGTCTTCCTCTTTTTCACTGACCCCTCTACTTTACCAAGCATGATGTCCTTCTTCAGGGATTGATCTCTCCTGGTAACATGTCCAAAGTAAGTGAAAGTCTTGCCATCCTCACTTTTAAGGAGCATTCTGGCTGTATTCCTCCAAGACAGTGGTGATAAAGATATGAATAATCTCTTCCCTCTGAAGCTTATTTTCAGTATTGAATATTAACTAAACTCTGAAAGTATTTAGTAGTATTTTTACTTATAGTTTTATTTCTTGGGGGATTTTTAATTTATTTTTAAGCGTGTGAAAAGTCTGTTTTACCAGAGAGGTTTTTAAACAATGGCCTCAGTTTCCTTGAGAAAAGCCACTTCTCCAAGCGATCTGGTAGACAGATGGATCAGAATGTGTGTGCTTGTGTGTGCTGGCTGATTTTCTCATGATAAAAGAAAGCTGCCTCTGCAAAAAAAGGATTATCTAATTTTTACATCATCTAACGAATGTACATCACAATATGAACATACGCACACATCCACGCTAGTAGAGCTCAGAGAGAAGCTAATGTCTGCTAGCCCCAGAGATAAATTAACATGCAGCCAACATCAGAGGAGCCAGAAACACTCTCTGCAAGTGTGAACACATATTTGATTGCAGGACTGTGTCTTTCCTGGGGCTGACCATACAAATTAAACAGTGTAAATCTCAAGTAAGTGTTTTCTGAACATTTTGACTCACTGTGAACATTAGGATGCCCTTAAAAGTAACATCTAACATTATTAGCCTATTG